AATTCCCTCTTCCTTGCTTAATCACCCCTACCTTGATCAATCACCCCTACCTTGCTGAATCACTGATACATTGCTTGATCCCCCCTACCTTGCTGAATTTCGCCTTACTTGCTGAGCCGCCCCTTCCTTGCTTAATCACCCCTACCATGCTGAATATATACTTCCTTGCTGAATTCCCCCTACCTTGTTAAAACACTCCTACCTTGTTTAATCACCCCTACCTTGCTGAGTGCTCACTACATTGTTTAATCACCTCTACCTTGCTTCAGCACCCCTACCTTCTTGAATCACCTCTATTTTGCTGAATCACCTCTGCCTTGCATAACCACCCCTACCCTTAGTAATCACCCCTTCCTTGCCTAATCACCCTTAAATTGTTGAATTCCTCCTATCTTGCTGAAGTCACCCTATGTTGCTGAATCACCCCTAGCTTGCTTAATCACACCTACCTTGCTTAATCACCCTTGCCTTGCTGAATTTCCACAACCTTGTTCGCACACTCTTACCTTGCTTAATCACCCCTACCTTGCTGAATCCCGCCTACCTTGCTGAATCCCGCCTACCTTGCTGGAACCCCCCTTTCCTTGATGAATTGCCCCACCTTGCTTAATCAACCCTACCCTGCTGAATTCCTACTACCTTGCTGAATTCCACCTACCTTACCTAATCACCCCTACCTTGCTTAATCACCCCTACCTTGATGAATCCCCCTTCCTTGTTGAATCGCCCCTACCTTGCTGAATCCCTTCTTCCTTGCTGAATTCTCCCAATCTTGCTGAATACCCACTCCCTTTCTGAGTCATCCCTATCTTTATTAATCATCCCTACCTTGCTAAATTCCCACTGATCAACCCTACCTTGCAGAATTCCCCCTTCCTTGGTTAATCACCCCTGCCTTGCTCAATCACCCCTACCTTGCTTAATCAACCCAACCTTGCTAAAGCCCCCCTTCCTGGTCGAAAAGGGCACCGGTCAAAAAGGGCACCGGTCGAAAAGCGCACCGGTCGAAAAAGCGCACCTGTCGAAAAGCGCACCGGTCGAAAAGCGCACCGGTCGAAATGGGCACCGGTCGAAAAGCGCTCCGGTCGAAAAGCGCACCGGTCGAAAAGGGCACGGTCAAAAAGCGCACCGGTCGAAACGCGCACCGGTCGAAAAGCGCACCGGTCGAAAAGTGCAACGGTCGAAAAGCGCACCGGTTATGAAGCGCACTGGTCGAAAAGCGCACCGGTCGAAAAGCGCACCGGTCGAAAAAGAGCACTGGTTGGAAATTGCACTGGTCGAAAAGGGCACCGGTCGAAAAGCGCACCGGTCGAAAAGGGCACCGGTCGAAAAGGGCACCGGTCGAAAAGCGCACCGGTCGAAAAGGGCACCGGTCGAAAAGGGCACGGTCGAAAAGCGCCCGGTCGAAAAGCGCACCGGTCGAAAAGTGCACCGGTCGAAATGCGCACCGATGGTGGGAGTTTAGACCGGATGGTGGTGGGAGTATAGATGGGTGGTGGTGGGAGTATAGACCGTGTGGTGGTGGGATTTTAGACCAGGTGGTGGTGGGAATTTGGCCAAGGTGTAGAAGGAGTTGAGACTGAGTCGTGCTAGGAGTTTAGACAGGGTGGTCGTGGTAGTTCTTTCCCGTTGGTTGTGGGAGTTTAGACCGGGTGTTGGTGGGAGTTTAGATTGTGTGGTGGTGGGAGTTTAAACCATGTGTTCGTGGTAGTTTAGACAGGCTGGTTGTGTGAATTTAGACTGATTGGTGGTGGGAGTTGAGACTTGGTGGTGATGGGAGTTTAGACCGGATGGTGGTGCAAGTTTAGACCGGGTGGTGGTGGGAGTTTAGACTGGATAGTGGTGGGAGTCTAGACCGGATGGTGGTGGGAGTTTAGACCGGGTGGTGGTGGGAGTTTAGACCTGTTGGTGATGAGAGTTTAGACCGAATGGTGTTGGGAGTTTAGAACGATTGGTGGTGGTGGGAGTTAAGACCGGATGATGGTGGGTTTTTTGATTGGGTGCTGGTGGGAGTTTAGACCGGGTGGTGGTGGTAGTTTAGACTGGGTGGTGGTGGGAGTTTAGACCAATTGGTGGAGGGAGTTTAGACCGGGTGGTGGTTGGAGTTTAGACCGGGTGGTGAGGGAGTTTAGACCGGGTGGTGGTGGGAGTTTAGACCGAATGGTGGTGGGAGTTTATACCGGTTGGTGGTGGGAGTTTAGACCGGATGATGGTGGGAGTTTGGATCGGGTGCTGGTGGGAGTTTAGACCGGGTGGTGGTGGGAGTTTAGACCAGTTGGTGGAGGGAGTTTAGACCGGGTGGTGGTTGGATTTTAGATTGGGTGGTGAGGGAGTTTAGATCGGGTGGTGGTGGGAGCTTAGACCGGGTGGTGGAGGGAGCTTAGACCGGGTGGTGCTGGGAGCTTAGACGGGATGATGGTGGGAGCTGGGATCGGGTGCTGGTGGGAGTTTGGACGGGGTGGTGGTGGGAGTTTAGACCGCGTGGTGGTGGTCATTTAGACTGGTTGGTGGTGGGGGTTTAGAGCGGGTGGTGGTGGAAGTTTAGAGCGGTTGGTGGTGGGAGTTTAGACCGGGTGGTGGTGGGAGTTTAGACCGGTTGGTGGTGGGAGTTTAGACCGGGTGGTGGTGGGAGTTTAGACCTTTTGGTGGTTGGAACTCAGACCGGGTTGTGGTGGGAGTTTAGACCGGTTGGTGGTGGGAGTTTAGACCGGTTGGTTGTGGGAGTTTAGACCGGATGATGGTGGGAGTTTGGATCGGGTGCTGGTGGGAGTTTAGACCGGGTGGTGGTGGGATTTTAGACCAGTTGGTGGAGGGAGTTTAGACTGGGTGGTGGTTGGATTTTAGATTGGGTGGTGAGGGAGTTTAGACCGGGTGGTGGTGGGAGCTTAGACCGGGTGGTGGAGGGAGCTTAGACCGGGTGGTGCTGGGAGCTTAGACCGGATGATGGTGGGAGCTTGGATCGGTTGCTGGTGGGAGTTTGGACCGGGTGGTGGTGGGAGTTTAGACCGCGTGGTGGTGGTCATTTAGACTGGTTGGTGGTGGGGGTTTAGACCGGGTGGTGGTGGAAGTTTAGACCGGTTGGTGGTGGGAGTTTAGACCGGGTGGTGGTGGGAGTTTAGACCTTTTGGTGGTGGGAACTCAGACCGGGTGGTGGTGCGAGTTTAGACTGGGTGGTAGTGGGAGTTTTGACCGGTTGGTGGAGGGAGTTTAGACCGAGTGGTTGATGGAGCTTAGACCTGGTTGTGGGGGAGTTTAGACGAGGGGGTGGTGGGAGTTTAGACCTGGTGGTTGTGGGAGATAAGACCGGGTTGGTGGTGGGTGTTGAGACCGGATGATGTTGGGAATTTGGATCGGGTGCTGGTGAGCGTTTAGACTGGGTGGTGGTGGGAGTTTAGACCGGGTGGTGGTGGGAGTTTAGACCGGGTGCTGGTGGGAGTTTAGGCCGGGTGGTGGTGGGAGTTCAAACCGGGTGGTGGTGGGATTTTAGACCAGGTGGTGGTGGGAATTTAGGCCGGGTGGTTGTAGTAGATGAGACCGAGTCGTGCTGGGAGTTTAGACTGGATGTTGGTGGCAGTTTATGTTGTGTGATGTCATCATATGCTATCACATTCTGTCTGCCTCCCATCCCATGTTTTTTCAACTTGCATGTGTGGTTTGAATGTGCAAGCATTTGTGTGTGGTGTGTTCTGGAGTTTGGGAATGTGTTTTGTGTTATTCTGTCTGAGCAGGTATTTGTGATGATAGATCTTGAGAAGATCTTTCCGACGCAACAAGAATCGCTTCAATCGGAGCAAGAACGCGAAAGCTATGAAGATTCAAAGTTCATGAGCTTGCGTTACAATTGCGGCGGTTACAAAGTGAAGTTGTGGGGTGACTTTATATGGAGTTGGGACCTTTGGGGTTGGGGAAACTTGTCACTCTACTGTAACAGCTGCAAATTGGTTGGGAACAACCAAGCTAGGTTGGCAAGGGTGGCCAACTTGGATGGATTGGTTGGGAAGGGACAAAGGTCAAAGTTGAGGTTCCTATAGGGAGGGAATCTTTGTGCTTATGGGGTTTCCTTGGTTGGGGACTCTCTTGGGACCTTCCCTCTCGTCCCTCTCTTTCTATCCCAACCTTTCTCTTGCTCCTTCTAATTCCTTGTGAGATTCTTGAACTTTGATTGAACTCTTGAGATTGAGTTAAGTTCTCCTCCTACAGCTTACCCCCTAGTGCGTCGAAAGCCATAGCGTCGCGAATACTTCATCAATCAACGTGATTCAAATTGGGAACGGTAGCTGAGATCAAGAGCTACAACATATCCAAGTTTCGCGACATTCCAACGGCTAGTGTTTTGTCGACGTCGTTTCTTGTGAAGACGACTTTTCTGTCCAGAATTTCGGATTTATATTTTGAGTAATTCTAGCTCCTAAGTTCACCTAGACTCTGTCCTTAATCCTAACAAGTGGTATCAGAGCGATATTAAGGACATTGAGAGGAGTCTACAGAAGTGTGAAGACCCTTCTAGACCCACCATGGCCTGTGGGTGTGCCTAAGTGGTGTTCTAAAGGTTGGATGTGTCTTCCGCTAAGGGGAAACTCTGCCGAAATTTCGTGGACGCCGACACTTGTGAAAATATCGAGGGAGCTGAGTGTGGACAGCAAAGGGGAGCTGAAATTCGTCATTTCTCAAGGAGAAGATGAATGAGAGAGGAGGAGATGCTAATGGAAGAGGAGCTGTAGCTGAGAAGACAAGTGAGCCGCCGCCATCAAAAGTTGAAGCTTTGGATGGCTCCAACTATGAGGAATGGAGCGGACGGATGAGGAGTGCCTTCAAACGCTACAAGCTCCTGAAGATTGCTGTTGGGGAAGAGAAGATGCCGGAAGAAGGCGAAGCACGTGAACGGTGGATTGAGAAAAGCGCGGTGCTTTTCGACCTCATTCTTCAATCGGTCAACAAGGAGATGTTCGAGCACATCAAGGATCTTGTGGAAGCGGATGATTCGGGTCCAAGGGCGTGGAAACTACTACGTGATGTGGTTCAGCCCAACACTCTCCTGATGGTGATCGTGCTCGAGAAGGAACTTGCTGCCATCTCCATGCGACCAGGGGACGATGTGAAGCCCGGTCCTTGACAAGATCAAGGACACCTATGCAAGGATGGCAGCAGCGGGCAGCAGTGTATCTCAGCTGCAGCAGTGCACCAAGATCATCTCGGTGTTGGACAACTCTTGGGACAACCTCATCCCCACCCTCAACTCTCAACAAGATCAATGGACACCTGAGTGGCTAAGGCAGCAGATTCTGCAGGAGGACTTCCGCAGACGCCATGTGGGAGGCGGTGCTGCCACTAAGACTGCTGAGGGGTATGGAGCTGCAGGGCGCGGCAGAGGAAGAGGGGGTTGGAGAGGCCGAGGCCGTGGGAGGAGCTTTGGCAGAGGTAGAGGCCGAGGTGACTATAATGAGGGGCATGGGAGCTCTAGTGGCAGGGGGAGTACCAGAATGGAGGGCACCTGCTGGTACTGCAAGAAGATAGGGCATCCTTGGTTCAAGTGCTTCAGCAGGCCGGAGGGATGGGCACCTCCAGGCATGAAGCCACCCAGTGGTGAACGCGCACAAGGTGGCGCTGTGCAAGGCTCAGGTGCACAAGGTGAAGGTGCACAAGGTAATGCCTATCCTGGTTTGTTTCTTATGGTTGAGGATGTGCATGGGCATGAGGGTGATGTGGGATTTGTGGGAAAGGTTGTGATGCACCCTCTCACGCACTGGGTGATTGATTCGGGTTGCACCAGTCACATGACCCCACGGGCAGATTTGCTTGATGAGGTAAAACCCCCTGGGAAGATTAAGTATGTGGCAGCAGCGTCAGGTGCTTTGCTCCCCGTGATTGGTGTTGGGAATGCCAAGGTTAAGGGAGCTAATGGGGAGCTTGTGGGGCTTGGGAATGTTCTGCTGGTTAAAGGCTTGTCTGCTAACCTTCTCTCTGTGCGGCGGCTGCAGAAGAGTAAGGCCGAAGTGACCTTTGGACCAACCAGCTGCCGTGCTAAGCTTGGGAAGAAGGTGCTGTGGAGTCTGGAAGAGGAGACCAGCTGCATCAAGGACCTGTGGCAGCTGCCCATCATCCCTTGGAATGGGAAGACTCCAACAGCAGCAACGGCAGCAGTGGCAAAGGCAACAGCAGGAGGAGATGCAACTGCACCAACTGATGGGGTCCTGGAAGCAGTCAAGAAAGTGCAGAAGCAGCAGACACATGGTGAGGTGCTTGCTGGTGTGGATGCGAGTGCGGCATGGGCTAAGGCTTCATCAAGGAGTGGAGAGGCCGATTGGGAGACATGGCATGAGAGGCTGTGTCATGTGAACTTCCCTATGCTGCAGAAGTTGGTGAAGGATGGGAGCCTGAAGGGCTTGGAGGTGAAAGGGGGAAGTGAAGGAGATTGGGAGCTGCCCTACATGCTTGGAGACCAAGTTCTCCAAGTTCCCCTTCAACAGCACTACAGGACCAGCCAAGACCCCACTTGCACTTGTGCACATGGATGTGGTGGGGCCCACAAGAGCCCCTTCCCTCTCAGGCAGCCGCTATTTCTTGACAATTGTGGATGACCACACTTGGGCAGTGTGGGTTTACCCTTTGAAGAGCAAGGGGGAGGTGGCAGCGGCTGTCCTTAAGGAGTGGATGCCGAGAGCTCAGAGGGAATGCGGACACAAGGTGAAGGTGATCCGTAGTGACAATGGTGGGGAGTTCATTGGAGCTGATTTTGAGGGGGAGTTGAAGAGGAAGGGGATCCAGCATCAACTGACAGTGCCCTACAACCCGCAGCAGAATGGCGTGGCTGAGAGGTTCAACAGGACCCTGCAGGAGGGGGCACGCACTCTCCTTGGGCGTGCAGGGCTGCCTGATCCGTTTTGGGTGTCTGCACTGAGGCAGGTCGCCCTTGTGAAGAACAGGGTGCTGGCTACAGTTGGAGATAAGGAGTGGATCCCATATGTCAAGTGGTATGGGAGTGCTCCAGCTGTGAACATGCTGAGGGCATTTGGGTGCATGGTGGTGTTTCATGTGCCAAGGAGAAAAGGGGGAAGTTGGAGGCTTCTGGAAGATGGGGTGTGCACTTGGGGATTGCAAAGGATCACAAGGGGTGGCTGCTATGGGACTTGACCACCCAGAAGTTGACAGTGTCAAGGGATGTGAAGTTTCTTGAGTCCCTGTACTACAAGGAATGGAAGCAGCAGCAACAGAAGCTTCCATCTACACCGCTCATTGTGGAGGCAGATGAGGTGCAGCAGCCTTCAAGACAGGTGGAGGTTGCAGTGTCAGAGGAGGAGATGTCTGGGGTGACTGAGGAAGGGGGAGCAGCTGAAGTAGAGCAGCAGCAGCAGCAGCAGCATGAGTCTCCACCTCGAGTTCCACACCCGCCTGAGCGTCCTAGGAGGGATGTGCGCCCTCCAGTGAGGCTGACCTATGGGGGAAGAGGCAAGCCGAATGTGGTGCAGGCTGGGAGTGTGGTTGAGCAGATTGAGGAAGATGAGATCGCTCACTGCTACTGGGCACCAATCCCTGAGCCCAAGACTCGAGAAGAGGCCTTGAATGGACCAAATGGGGAGAAGTGGAAGGCGAGTGAGGATGAGGAGTTCGGGTCCCTAATTGAGAACGAGACATGGGACCTGTGTGACTTGCCTCCTGGAAAGAAGGCAATCACTTCCAAGATGATCTACAGGCACAAGTATGGACCTGAAGGGGAGCTGACCCGCTACAAGTCTAGGCTTGTGGCACGGGGGTTTCAGCAGACAAAGGGGAAGGACTATGATGAGGTGTTTGCTCCTGTGGGGAAAGGAACAACACTGAGGGTGCTGTTGGCGATAGCTGCACTCCTGGGATGGAAGATTCGGCAGATGGATATTGTGACTGCCTTTCTGAATGGGATCATTATGGAGGAGGTGTACATGAAGCAGCCAGAGGGGCTGGATGACGGGAGCGGCAGGGTCTGCAGGCTGAAGAAGGCCATCTATGGCCTTAAGCAGGCGCCTCGTGCATGGTATCACAAGTTGGAGGAGGCGCTGTTGGCTGGGGGTTTCAAGAAGAGTGAGTGTGACCCCAGCCTGTTCCTGCTGCAGGAGAAGGATGAAATCCTCATGCTCTTGGTGTATGTGGATGATATCCTTCTCTTTTCTGCATCCACTGCTTTGCTGGACAGCGCAGAGCAGATGCTGGAGATGCAGTTCAAGTGCTCCAAGATGGGTGAGGTGAAGTACTACTTGGGGATGCACGTGGAGAGAGATGTGGAAAAGGGTGTGCTGAGGTTGCACCAGAGGAAGTACTGTGAGGGGCTGGCTGAGAAGTATGGGCTGCAAGATGGGGGAAAGCCAGCAACACCACTACCTTCAGGGTTTACTGTGGAGCCATGTGCTGATGAGGAGGTAGTGGGTGATAGTGACAGGAAGCTGTTTCATTCGATGGTTGGGTCGCTGAATTATGCTGCAAATCATACACGGCCTGACATTGCATTTGCTACATCACGATTGGCTAGTGTGGTCTCACGCCCTAGTCATGAGCAGCTGGAAGCGGCCAAGAGGTTGGTCCGCTATGTGAGCGCTACGGCATCAGTGGGATTGGAGTACAGTGGAGTGAGGCAGCGGTTGCAGAGAGGTGCTGCAGATGTGAAGAGTGGAGAGATGCTCTTGAGTTGCTATACTGACGCTAGCTTCAACTCAGTGAAAGCGGATGGCACCAGCATTGGGGGTTATGTGTGCTTGCTAGGAGGTGGTGCTGTGAGCTGGCGCAGCAAGAAGCAGAATGAGGTGGGATTGTCCTCATGTGAGACTGAGTACATGGCCTTACACCATGGGGCCAAGGAAGTAGTGTGGCTAAGGCGTTTGTTGGAGGAGTTGGGAGTTGGTCAGGAGAAGCCGACAGTTGTGTTTTGTGACAATGAGTCCGCTGTGAAGCTCGCCAAGAATGCTTGTCTGCATGGGCTGACAAAACACATAAGGCCTAAGTGGCATTGGGTGAGGAGACTCCTTGATAAGGAGGTGCGGCTGGAGATAGTGAAGACCCATCAGCAGGCAGCAGATATTTTCACCAAGCGTCTGGCGGAGGCGGATCATTGGAAGGGCATGAAGCTTGCTGGGATGAGTGTGCATTGAGTATGCATGCTTGAGATGTGGTATGGTGGATGATGGTTGGCAGCCAGAGGGGGAGATTGTTGTGTGATGTCATCATATGCTATCACATTCTGTCTGCCTCCCATCCCATTTTTTTCAACTTGCATGTGTGGTTTGAACGTGTGCAAGAATTTGTGTGTGGTGTGTTCTGGAGTTTGGGAATGTGTTTTGTGTTATTCTGTTGAGCAGGTATTTGTGATGATAGATCTTGAGAAGATCTTTCCGACGCAACAAGAATCGCTTCAATCGGAGCAAGAACGCGAAAGCTATGAAGATTCAAAGTTCATGAGCTTGCGTTACAATTGCGGCGGTTACAAAGTGAAGTTGTGGGGTGACTTTATATGGAGTTGGGACCTTTGGGGTTGGGGAAATTTGTCACTCTACTGTAACAGCTGCAAATTGGTTGGGAACAACCAAGCTAGGTTGGCAAGGGTGGCCAACTTGGATGGATTGGTTGGGAAGGGACAAAGGTCAAAGTTGAGGTTCCTATAGGGAGGGAATCTTTGTGCTTATGGGGTTTCCTTGGTTGGGGACTCTCTTGGGACCTTCCCTCTCGTCCCTCTCTTTCTATCCCAACCTTTCTCTTGCTCCTCTAATTCCTTGTGAGATTCTTGAACTTTGATTGAACTCTTGAGATTGAGTTAAGTTCTCCTCCTACAGCTTACCCCCTAGTGCGTCGAAAGCCATAGCGTCGCGAATACTTCATCAATCAACGTGATTCAAATTGGGAACGGTAGCTGAGATCAAGAGCTACAACATATCCAAGTTTCGCGACATTCCAACGGCTAGTGTTTTGTCGACGTCGTTTCTTGTGAAGACGACTTTTCTGTCCAGAATTTCGGATTTATATTTTGAGTAATTCTAGCTCCTAAGTTCACCTAGACTCTGTCCTTAATCCTAACATGCCCAACAAAACCTCAACTTTCATTTTGTTTTTCAGATACAAAGCAATTTCTAAGCCCTTGGTTTGCATGAACAGTTAGTCATGGGTCAAGATAATCGGGCTGTGCTAGATAAAACCTGTGTGCAAAAAGTTTGGTATTTATGTGTTTCTTTTTTAGTACTGAGATTCCACAAGACCTGTGGTGCATTAAGTGGTATGGATGGTTAGCTGTGGGTAGAGCTGTGGTGTGGGATGCAACCGGTGTGTGGGTTTTTCGCTTAGTTTACTTGAGTGGTATGTTTTCTTGGCTTGTTCCTAAAATCTTTTTATAATAGCTAGTTTGGCTAGCATCTTGCCAGTCAAACCAAGGTCTAAATTAAAGTATGATAACCTTGTCCAAAAAACAAATATTGACGAGCAACTAGCCCAACAATCATTTCTTCTTTTTCAAAACCAAATAACTTATGGCCTTAGTCTTGGCATGAACAATGGCAGAGGTGCCTGGAGCAGGATGAATACGCCAAGCACTGGTCTCCAGATCCAAAACCGTTGTGTGCAACTAGCTTTCCTAGATGAGCTAGAGTGTGGCCAAACAACGTTAACATGGTGTTGTTTTCAGTGAAATTTTGCCTTGATCTGCTGGAGGGATAAGAACAGAACTTGCCCAGAAGACCCAAAGGCCGTGGGTGGGGAAGTGCGCAACTATTCTACTTGGGCAACATTGGAGCAGCCCAAACTCCATCACAGTAGTCATTTTCACTGAACAGCAAGAACAAAGGCATGGGCCTCAAGGTTACACGTCCTGCAACATGGGCGGGTTGCTGTGGTTTGGAGCGGCAATGGCCCACTTGAATTACCGCCTTGGAGAAAGTGAAAATCCTAATTTTTCATGCGTGGTTAGTGTATGGGCTCAAGAGCATGCTGGCCTGTGCTCGGATGCAAAACCCAGGTGTGTGGGAAGTTATGGTATCTCAAGCGTTTTCGCATGTCCAAGTTCTTGAGTGGTACCCCACCAAACAACAACCTGTTTTTTCATTTAGGATCTTGTTCACTAAAACTCTTTCCCTTTGCATACATAGCTAGTGTATGGCCTCAAGAGCATCATGGCTTGTGCTAAGATCCAAAATCCAAGTGGTTGGGAAGTTATAGTATGTCAACTATTGTCCCATGACTAAACACTTGAGCACTGCCCAACAAAACCTCAACTTTCATTTTGTTTTCAGATACAAAGCATTTCTAAGCCCTTGGTTTGCATGAACAGTTAGTGCATGGGCTCAAGATAATCGTGGCTTGTGCTCAGATCCAAAACCTAAGTGTGCAAAAAGTTATGGTATTGTATGTGTTCCTTTTTCCAGAACTTGAGCATTTCCTACAAGACCTCAACTTGGTTATCTTGCTATTGAGAGTGCTCAAACATCTTGCTTTTTGCATGCATGGTTAGTGTATGGGCTCAAGAGCATGCTGGCCTGTGCTCGGATGCAAAAACCCAGGTGTGTGGGAAGTTATGGTAATCTCAAGCATTTTCGCATGTCCAAGTTCTTGAGTGGTACCCCACCAAACCAACAACCTGTTTTTTCATTTAGGATCTTGTTCACTAAAACTCTTTCCCTTTGCATACATAGCTAGTGTATGGCCTCAAGAGCATCATGGCTTGTGCTCAGATCCAAAATCCAAGTGGTTGGGAAGTTATAGTATGTCAACTATTGTCCCATGACACAACACTTGAGCACTGCCCAACAAAACCTCAACTTTCATTTTGTTTTTCAGATACAAAGCAATTTCTAAGCCCTTGTTTTGCATGAACAGTTAGTGCATGGCTCAAGATAATCGTGGCTTGTGCTCAGATCCAAAACCTAAGTGTGCAAAAAGTAATGGTATTGTATGTGTTCCTTTTTCCAGTACTTGAGCATTTCCTACGAGACCTCAACTTGGTTATCTTGCTATTGAGGTGCTCAAACATCTCTATTTTGCATGCATGGTTAGTGTATGGGCTCAAGAGCATGCTGGCCTGTGCTCGGATGCAAAACCCAGGTGTGTGGGAAGTTATGGTATTCCAAGCGTTTTCGCATGTCCGAGTTCTTGAGTGGTACCCCACCAAACAACAACCTGTTTTTCATTTAGGATCTTGTTCACTAAAACTCTTTCCCTTTGCATACATAGCTAGTGTATGGCCTCAAGAGCATCATGGCTTGTGCTCAGATCCAAAATCCAAGTGGTTGGGAAGTTATAGTATGTCAACTATTGTCCATGACTAAACACTTGAGCATTGCCCAACAAAACCTAACTTTCATTTTGTTTTCAGAGACAAAGCAATTTCTAAGCCCTTGGTTTGCATGAACAGTTAGTGCATGGGCTCAAGATAATCGTGGCTTGTGCTCAGATCCAAAACCTAAGTGTGCAAAAAGTTATGGTTATTGTATGTGTTCCTTTTTCCAGAACTTGAGCATTTCCTAAAGACCTCAACTTGGTTATCTTGCTATTGAGCATGCTCAAACATCTTGCTTTTTGCATGCATGGTTAGTGTATGGGCTCAAGAGCATGCTGGCCTGTGCTCGGATGCAAAACCCAGGTTGTGGGAAGTTATGGTATCTCCAGCGTTTTCGCATGTCCAAGTTCTTGAGTGGTACCCCACCAAACAACAACCTGTTTTTTCTTTGTTCACAAAATCTTTTTTCTACATACTAGTATGCTCAGAGCATCATGGCTTGTGCAGATAAAACATGTTGGAGCTTATATGTCATTGCCCCAAACAAAACCTCAACCTTTCATTTTGTTTTTCAGATACAAAGCATTTCTAAGCCCTTGTTTGCATGAACAGTTAGTGCATGGGCTCAAGATAATCGTGGCTTGTGCTCAGATCCAAAACCTAAGTGTGCAAAAAGTTATGGTATTGTATGTGTTCCTTTTTCCAGACTTGAGCATTTCCTACGAGACCTCAACTTGGTTATCTTGCTATTGAGAGTGCTCAAACATCTTGCTTTTTGCATGCATGGTTAGTGTATGGGCTCAAGAGCATGCTGGCCTGTGCTCGGATGCAAAACCCAGGTGTGTGGGAAGTTATGGTATCTCAAGCTTTTCGCATGTCCAAGTTCTTGAGTGGTACCCCACCAAACAACAACCTGTTTTCATTTAGGATCTTGTTACTAAAATCTTTCCTTTTGCATACATAGCTAGTGTATGGCCTCAAGAGCATCATGGCTTGTGCTCAGATCTAAAATCCAAGTGGTTGGGAAGTTATAGTATGTCAACTATTGTCCCATGCTAAACACTTGAGCATGCCCAACAAACCTCAACTTTCATTTTTTTTCAGATACAAAGCATTTCTAAGCCCTTGGTTTTGCATGAACAGTTAGTGCATGGGCTCAAGATAATCGTGGCTTGTGCTCAGATCCAAAACCTAAGTGTGCAAAAAGTTATGGTATTGTATGTGTTTCTTTTTCCAGTAACTTGAGCATTTTCCTAAGAGACCTCAACTTGGTTATCTTGCTATTGAGCAGTGCTCAAACATCTTCTATTTTGCATGCATGGTTAGTGTATGGGCTCAAGAGCATGCTGGCCTGTGCTCGGATGCAAAACCCAGGTGTGTGGGAAGTTATGGTATCTCAAGCGTTTTCGCATGTCCAAGTTCTTGAGTGGTACCCCACCAAACAACAACCTGTTTTTTCATTTAGGATCTTGTTACTAAAAATCTTTCCCTTTGCATACATAGCTAGTGTATGGCCTCAAGAGCATCATGGCTTGTGCTCAGATCCAAAATCCAAGTGGTTGGGAAGTTATAGTATGTCAACTATTGTCCCATGACTAAACACTTGAGCATTGCCCAACAAAACCTCAACTTTCATTTTGTTTTTCAGACACAGCATTTCTAAGCCCTTGTTTTGCATGAACAGTTAGTGCATGGGCTCAAGATAATCGTGGCTTGTGCTCAATAAAACCTAAGTGTGCAAAAAGTTATGGTATTGTATGTGTTTCCTTTTTCCAGTACTTGAGCATTTCCTACAGACCTCAACTTGGTTATCTTGCTATTGAGCGTGCTCAAACATCTTGCTTTTTGCATGCATGGTTAGTGTATGGGCTCAAGAGCATGCTGGCCTGTGCTCAGATGCAAAACCCAGGTGTGTGGGAAGTTATGGTATCTCAAGCGTTTTCGCATGTCCAAGTTCTTGAGTGGTACCCCACCAAACAACAACCTGTTTTTTCATTTAGGGATCTTGTTCACTAAAACTCTTTCCCTTTGCATACATAGCTAGTGTATGGCCTCAAGAGCATCATGGCTTGTGCTAGATCCAAAATCCAAGTGGTTGGGAAGTTATAGTATGTCAACTATTGTCCCATGACTAAACACTTGAGCACTGCCCAACAAAACCTCAACTTTCATTTTTTTTTCAGAACAAAGCAATTTCTAAGCCCTTGGTTTGCATGAACATTTAGTGCATGGGCTCAAGATATCGTGGCTTGTGCTCAGATCAAAACCTAAGTGTGCAAAAAGTTATGGTATTGTATGTGTTTCTTTTTCCAGTACTTGAGCATTTCCTACGAGACCTCAACTTGGTTATCTTGCTATTGAGAGTGCTCAAACATCTTTCTTTTTCATGCATGGTTAGTGTATGGGCTCAAGAGCATGCTGGCCTGTGCTCGATGCAAACCCAGGTGTGTGGGAAGTTATGGTATCTCAGCGTTTCGCATGTCCAAGTTCTTGAGTGGTACCCCACCAAACAACAACCTGTTTTTTCATTTAGGATCTTGTTTACTAAAACTCTTT